CTTTTCTTCCATTTATGACTCAAGTTTGCCCTGCAGCAGCATCCTGCTTTGGAGTTTCTCAGCTCCAGCTGCATGTTAGAATCAATCACTAAGGAACTTTTTTAAACACCCTGAGGCCCAGGCCCTGCCATTGAGATCAAATTGAGAACCACCGACCTGGGATCGTCAGGATGGTGATGCTGCTTCCTTTACACTTTCTTTTTTCCTGCCCCTGTTATGTACTCATTTCTAAAGTGACCAGGTGTCTCGGGGAAGTGAGGGAGAGAGAGCAGGGCAGGCACAACATGGGCAAACACAGGGGGCCTGCAGGGCAGCATTCTCGTTGTCACTGCGGGACATTTTCTCGGGGCCCTGGGCCCTGCATGACTGGAGCCTGAGGCATGGTCCTGTTGGAAAGGCGGGGGGTCTGGTGGCCACAGAGCAGGCATCGCTGTCACTAGGGCCAGAGACTTTGCTGCTTATGAGGGATCCGGCAGAAAGAGAATGAGCACTTGTTAGAAGTCACTGGGAGAGTGTGGAGTTAGCTGGAAGGACTTACAGGCAAAAAGTTTTACGCAATATCGTTTATAATTAATAACATATTGATCCGGGTCTTATGCCCTGAAAAAGAGAAAGGGGGCAGAGAGGATTAGGAGTGGGAAGGAGGGAGGGAGATTGAGTTTTGTATTCAAAGGAAGGAAAAGCAGTTTGGGATGAATGTGTGCATGCATGTGTGGTGGTCTCAGCATTCCGAGGTATTCTAAGGCAGAGGAAAATTCTCTTCCTCATACAATCAGCAAGAGAACTGCTTTTGCATGTGCTTGCCATCCAGCCAGTTGATTGCTTCTTATTTCCCCAGCTTTTTGGATAGCTCTGACTCAGTTCATGTGCTTGCTGTCATTTTCAGTTGTATTTGTCAAGTGACCACAGGAGCTTTCTGAAGTCATCTAAGAGGTCTTGGCTCCAGGAGGTGTACCTGACCGACGAGATCTCCTACATGAACTGCTGGCAGGCCACCTTCCTCGACCCCCAGCTACGCCTGGAATATGAAGGCTTCCCTGTCCGGGTGAGCACAGTACCGGGAAGACATGGACAGGTGCCAGGCTTGGAAGTGGCCGCAGTTTGCTCCTGTCTGTGAAACGAAGCCTCGTCATAGCTCCAGGGCCTTATGTACTTTCTCCTTTTCTTCCATTTATGACTCAAGTTTGCCCTGCAGCAGCATCCTGCTTTGGAGTTTCTCAACTCCAGCTGCATGTTAGAATCACTAAAGAACTTTTTTAAACACCCTGAGGCCCAGGCCCTGCCATTGAGATCAAATTGAGAACCACCGACCTGGGATCGTCAGGATGGTGATGCTGCTTCCTTTACACTTTCTTTTTTCCTGCCCCTGTTATGTACTCATTTCTAAAGTGACCAGGTGTCTCGGGGAAGTGAGGGAGAGAGAGCAGGGCAGGCACAACATGGGCAAACACAGGGGGCCTGCAGGGAAGCGTTCTTGTTGTCACTGCGGGACATTTTCTCGGGGGCCCTGGGCCCTGCATGACTGGAGCCTGAGGCATGGTCATGTTGGAAAGGCGGGGGGTCTGGTGGCCACAGAGCAGGCATCGCTGTCACTAGGGCCAGAGACTTTGCTGCTTATGAGGGATCCGGCAGACAGAGAATGAGCACTTGTTAGAAGTCACTGGGAGAGTGTGGAGTTAGCTGGAAGGACTTACAGGGCTGGTTTGCTGAGGAGGTCCTCCATGGCCACAGTCACAGACCACTCTGAATTCACCTGACATGGCATGCCTGTCTCCTGAGGTCTGCAAGGAGGACGCAGCTTCTCAAGTTTCTTTCTCCCAGCATGGAGGACATATATATCACGCACAAAAACACCGTCTTAACACATTCCTTCTCTTTAGCTGGACTTGCTAAGCTTCGCTCTCCTGGGAATTGACTCTCCTTTCCATGATTTAAACTGACAGTGCCTCAGTTTCCTTATCTGTAAATTGGGGATGATAATAATACCTACCTTAAGAGGTAACTAACTGGTTAGAACATTTAGAGTGCTTATTGAAAAGCGCCTGGCTGACAGAAAGCACTCACAAGTGTGAATTGTTGTCATAGTTGTTTTTGTTAGAGTTGTTGAAGGAGCAGTGGTACGGCTCCAGGAGTTCTTTTCTCCATGGCTAGCTCGCCTTGTGGCCCAAGGCACATCCCTGAACCTCGTGCAGACGTGGTTGCACATGTGCAAAGTGGGAAACCTCACAGCTGTCTGATCCAGGAGTTCTTTTCTCCATGGCTAGCTCGCCTTGTGGCCCAAGGCACACCCCTGAACCTCGTGCAGACGTGGTTGCACATGTGCAAAGTGGGAAACCTCACAGCTGTCTGAACTACCCTGCACATGTCGATGCCCTCCAACCAGAGACCGCCAGGAGCAGCTGTGGTTGAACGAGATGGGCTTATTACTTGTTGCTGCAGGGAGAACACACACCATGGGGAAGTGTGGGGCATCTCAGCAAGAACATGTTAGAAAGGCTACTTGTAGAATTTGGGCTTTGTTTGGGTGGTTTTGCGGAGAGCCCCAGGAAGTGGAGCTTTGCTCTGGATTGAATGCTGTCAGGAAGCAGGGGGTAATCTATGATTGGGGATCTCATTAAATCTTATCTCTAGGAAGGGCAGACCAGAGCGAGGACAAAGCTGTCATTAGAAAAGGATCAGTGGCCACTCCCATTAGCCGGGGATGAAGATGTTTGGTATTTTGTGGCTTGGACAGTGCTTGTGTTTTGTAATCAATGTTCGGACGTAATTACAGAATGTTCTTTATTTTTGTCTTGACCCATCATGGTCACAGAGTGGCCTCATGTGATGTGGACATTCTGTGAAATTGATTCTGTTCTGCAGGAGAACACTAAGGCATAGCTGTGAGTGCCTGGATGTTAGGGGCTGCTTTTTCTTTCTTACACAGCTTTTAGCTTACATGAGTCAGGGTTTTGAAATAATATAGTTTTTTTCTGATTATATGTTCATTTATGAAAAGTTAGGAAAACACATAGATAGTATGAAAATTACCAGGAGTTTCAATTTCCAGAGAAAGCTATCATTGTTTATTTTTTTCTGTGCGTATATATACACACACACATAGACTATATATGTGTATGTATATATTTTACAAAATAGGACATCACAAATATACTTATTTTTTCTATGCATATATATACATAAAATGTATGTGTATATATATGTTTTTTTACAAAATAGAGCATCATGAATATACTTATTTTTTTCCATTTAACACCACCAGTGACCATATCTCATGTTGTCAAAGATCTCCAATATGACTTTGAATGACAGTTTCAACATATATATATCTACAATAATGTATTTAATCAATCCATTATGGTTTGGCTTCTAAGTTATTCTATGTGTGTGTGTTTTGCTAAATTGAAATGAATATATAGGATATTTCTAAATTTTTGCTTTTAGGAAATTGGAGTCTTAATTCAGAATGCTAATAACATATTTTCTTTATCTGTAAAGGCAAATTCCAAAATTCTCATTAATCACTGCTACACGAATCGGGGACTGGCAACTCACCGGCATCTTTTCTTAAGGTATTGCACTGCAGG